GGACAGAGAGGAGGAAGGAAAAGCTGACTAAGGTCTTAGAGTAAAGAAGCGTGAGGAACTTTTTTTTTGGTTTTGTTTTGAAATACCGGATAATTTAATTTTTTTAAATTAAAAATGTGGGGTACAATTCAGGGTTACATATACCAACATTGACTATGCAGGTACCCTTGCTGATGAGGTGTACCCCTCCCTCCCCTGGAAGTTTCCTCCCACTGTCAATCCCACCCCTCCCCAGCAGTTTCCCAGTACTGCCAATCCCTTTCTTATAGTATTATGATAATTGCTCAAGGTCTGCTTATGAGTGAGAACATATTGTACTTTGTTCTTTATTTCTGTGATAGATCACTGAGTATGATCGACTCTAAATCCATGCAAGTTGCTGTGAAGTCCATATGTTTGTCCTTCTTTATGGCTGCATAATATTCCATTGGGTATATGTACTACATTGTTTTTACCCACTCCAGCTTCAATGGACAGCATGGTTGGTTCCATGTTTTTGTTATTGTGAATAGAGCTGCAACAAACATGCGTGTGCAGGTACCTTTTTGTAGAATGATTTGAGTTCCTCTGTGTATATTACCAACAGGGGGATTGCTGGGTCATATGGAAGGTCAATTTCTAGTTCTTTCAGAAATTTCCACACTGTCTTTCAAAGAGGTTGCACTAGTTTGCATTCCCACCAGCAGTATAGAAGCATTCCTTTTTCTCTACATCCTCGCCAGCATCTGTTGTTTGTTTTATTAATGATGGCCATTCTTACTGGGGTTAGGTGGTATCTCAATGTGGTTTTGATTTGCATTACTCTGATGATTAGTGAGGCTGCTTCCTCCCATTCTAAATACAAGTGTGTCCAAAAAATGTGTACACATTTCATGTTGTCTAGGCATTGCTTTTCGAAGTTGAATTGAATTACGGTAGCAACATATAGTATGATGAGTGCACAACTGTGCATCCGCCATATCTTTGACTGTCCTGCCTGTTGCATGGTGATGTTAACATTCATTTGATTAATGCCATCTTTTGAGTGAACATCATACTTCAAATGTGTATACGTTTCTTGAGGCACCCTCCCCCATATATGTAAATATATGGTCACAGTTCACTTACCTTACCAAAAATAAACATCCTATACTGTTCTGCACCTTGGTTCTTTATTGGTATGTATTCTTGAGAGGACTTCACATCAGTGTAAAGAGATGTCTCTCTTCCTTTTCCATAGCTGCAGAGTGTATTTCATCGTGTGGGTTTACACTAATTTGTTCAGCCAGTCTCTTAGTTGGGATTATTTTTTGAATTGTTTCCAATCTTTTGCCATTACAAATCATACTGCAATGAAATACCCATGCATAAATCATTTGGTATTTTGGGATCACTTCCTAGAATTGGGATTTCTGGGTCCAAAGGTAAATGTGTATGTTATCTTGCTAGAGGTGATTCGATCATCTTCCACAGGTGCTGTGTGTCATTTTGCTTTCTCACTGGCAAATATGCCATTCCCATGACCTGCCAACCAAGTGGGTGGTCACACTTTTGCATTTTTGCTCATCTGATTACTTGCTTCCTTTCATCAGTCTGCCCCAAGATATACCATGATGATTTCATCTGTTTTTGGCAGAACTCTCTAAGGATAAACAATAAGTTATTGTATTTAGGGTGACAGAAGGAGGCTACAGTGTCTCTATCTATTTCCACTCACATAATCGTGGGAATACCACAACTCACAGCATCACTATCCTGGTTAAAACCTCGTATTTCCAAAGGTTGGCTTGGGTTTCCAGCCATGGAAAATGACATAAAATTTGACCTTGCTTCTAAAGTCAGCAGAATGCAGAGACGCCAGTAAGTGAAGTCCACTGGCACTTTACAACAGTGGTCCCCAAACTTCTTGGCATCCAGGACTGGTTTCATGGATTTTTCCATGGACTGGGGTGGGGGTGGTTTTGGGATGATTCAAGCACATAACATTTATTGGGCACTTTATTTCTATTATTATTACATTGTAATGTATAATGAAATAATTATACAACTCACCATTAAAAGAAAAAGAGGCACAGATGGAAGTGGTAAATAAAATAATGGGTGGGCTATGTGCAGACTAAAATATGTGTCAGATTCTGACTTAAAGCTTGCCACCAGATCCAGCTATACAACTGAAGTACATCCACTCACTTGCCACTCACTGAAATGGTTTTGATATGAGTCTGCAAGTCATTGATCTATTATGGTCTCTATGCAGTCAAACCTCACTGCTAAAGTTAATCTATCTGCAGCCGCTCCCCAGCAATAGCATTACCACCTCAGCTCCACCTCAGATCATCAGGCATTAGATTCTCATAGGGAACACGCTACCTAGATTCCTCATATGGGCAGTTCACAACAGAGTTTGCAATCCTATGAGAATCTAATGCCACCACTGATCTCATAGAAGACAGAGCTCAGGGGTAATACCAGCAATGGGGAGCGGCTATAGATACAGATGAAGCTTTGCTCTCTTGTCCATTGCTCACCTCCTGCTGTGCAGCCTGGTTCCTAACAGGTGTTAGTGGCCCAAGGGTTAGGGACCCCTGCTTTAAAAGCCTCAGAATTCTGAGAAAAGTGGAGGAGGAATTGTGACCATCTTTTGTCGGTTTGCTGCCTCCAGAATAACACCCATGCCAAGGGGAAGCCCTTGTGTATGGCTGGAAGTTTCCACAGATTGTGGAGTGATCACTCTTTAACCTGCAGGGCTACCCACACTCAGGACTCTTTCTCTTGCTGCTTTGTGGAAGTGAATGTCATGGATGGATACCTTTTTTTTTCTTTCAGCGTCTCTCATTTCCTTGTACTCTAGTAGGCTATTTTGCCCCCCAAAGGGGATGGACAGTTGACAATGTTTGGAGGCATATCTGGTTGTCACAACTTGAAGAAGCGTACTGTTAATATCTAGTGGGTAGAGGTCAGGAGCGCTATGAAACATCATACAACACTCAGGACAGCTTCCTCCATCCCTGGCAAAGAATAATCTGGTCCAAAATGTCAATAATGTTGAGGTTAAGAAACTCTTCTGTATTCAGACATCCTCAAAATGACTAACATCAGTAGCAAAGGAAGGACAGAATCACAGATACTCCTCCCTTCCTGCTCCTCCAAAAGTCACTTGCAATACAGAAACCTCTTTAATCACAAAGACTCTAAGGAATTATATATTTATCCAGAAGATTAAAGAACAAATACCATTTTAACCTTCCAAAGACTGATTATCATTAGGTATAATGCAACCTTTTAACTGTAAGTATAAAGGAAAATGCTGATTATTTAAAGCAAATGGAACCAAAAGTCCCATGAATAATCAAAAACTTGGTTAATAGTGTATGACCAGAGAATAATGCACTTGGCTTCTGTGGAGAAATTAAAGTACATGCTGTGAATTGGTATTAGGGAAAATGCATGAAAAGTTACCCTTAAGGTACCCTGACGCTGAAGAAGCAGCCTCAGGTGCACAATATATCACATTCAGTCTTTATCTCTCTTCTATTTTCATGACTTCTTTCACCTTGGATAACCCAGAAACTCAGGCCTTGGAACTTTTTGGAATGGTAAGGTATCTCACTCTCCACATTTATTTTCATCAGTAGCAGACCTGAATTTTACTGCCAAGAGTTTATCTCTTTAGCAGGAATTATTTTCAAACTGCACCTCCCCTATTTATTTTAAGGGCATAGACTGTGTTTAATACCTATAATCATAATTCACTTTAAATACAATGTACCCCTGCAAAGTTATACCTAAATTGAATTTTTGTAAATAAGATTAAAATTTTAAATCACAAATAAACTTGCCAAATGAAGTATGAAGTTAAGTCTTTCATAGAGAATGGCATCTTTGTTTTAAAAAGTGAACAACTACTCTTTTTCAAGTCCAATTTTTATATGTGGCCCAAGGATTTGGTCCGTGATGCTAACTGGAAAAAAAAAATTGACCATGAATTTGGAAGAATTTTGAAAATGGAAGTTTTATGAGCTAGTTTTAAGGATGTAAAAACTGGGCCAGGCGCAGAGGATTGCCTGAGCCCAGGGGTTCAAGACCAGCCTGGGCAACATGGTGAGAACGTCTCTACAAGAATTCACAAAAACTAGCTGGGAGTGGTGGCATGTGTCTGTAGTTCCAGCTACTTGGAAGACTGAGGAGGAAGGATCGCCTAAGCCCAGCAGGTCGAGGCTGCAATGGCAGTGAGCGTGTCACTGCACTCCAGTCTGGGCGACAAGAGAGTCCAACTAAAAAACAAAACCAAACCTGTGCCATCGATCCTTTATTATCAAGAAGGGTTTGTTAACACTTGTTTTGGGTGATGAGAAAGGGGACAAGATGCAAGGCACACCTGAAAAAGAGAATAGGTAATCCCGATGACTGCTTCCCCTCAGCAAGAAGAAGAGTGAGTGGCAGCCTATTCTTTAGACAGTGCCACGTTGTGCTTGAGCACGGATTCAGAGACCAGATAGCCTGGGTTCACACCTCTGCCTAGTGTGGCCTCAGGCAATTTAACATGACTCGGTTCTGCCTTAGTTGCTTCTTACAAAACACGGAGAGTACTAATGTTATCTCCTTCATGGTACTGAGGATGAAATGAGCTAGTATGTGAAAAGCACTCGGGTCTGCGGTAGTCTGGAATCCTGGATGGTGAGCCGAGCTCCAGGGCGAGGCGTAAGGAGGAAGAGGAGAGGCGGGGAGCAGCCAACGTTCCACCGCATCCTCTCCGCACCCTTGGCAGGTTCTGCCAAGGCTGTACACAGGAGGACACGGAGGCCGAGCGAGGGGCTCGAGGATTAGAACCTGCATGGCCGGACATTCCTGGGGAAAAGGCCCCTTCCCGCCGCGCCACTTCCGTCGGGTCGGGCAGTGAGAGCGCGACGGCTCGGCCCCACGCCCGGCTCTAGGGTTCCATCACTGAGCCATGGCCCACAGCTCCAGCAGCCACGGCCCTAGGAGCCGCCTTCAAGCCCGGCCACCGCCACGGTCACCCACAGGAGGCGGGGAGCGACGAAAGGTTTCCGGGAGGAGCGGGCGAGCCAAGGGTCGGGAAGGGGCTTGATAGTCACTGACCCTTGTGCACGACACAAAGACTTCTGCGTGCCCACTCTGTGTAGGGTGTTGGGGACACTGATGAATCCAGAGTCGGCCCAGACTCCAGCAGCAGCGTACCGCGAGACGTCAGCAGCCAGCCCTGGCCGCGGTCGATCCACTCAGGCAAGAAGGGGGACGTGGGAGGAGCTGGACCTCGCCTTCCGGAGTTCGCCTCCAAAGCTCCGCCCCTTCGGGGCGCGCCCGGCTACGCCGTAAAGCAGGGAGCGTCTTGACCGCCGACAGCCGCCTCCGTCTTTACGGCGGGCCGCATTCCACGCCTCCAATATGGCGTCCCCCATATAGGCAGTGGCCGTGGTTTCTACCCCGGGTGGCCGGGGGCAGTACTGAGCTGGGGTGGTTGTTCATCCATTCTGAGCTGCAGTACTTAAAGTTCCTTTCGGGTCACGGTTCCAGGAAGCCACCCTCCTCGGAGGGTCAAGAGTCGCCGCTTCCTTTTCGTTCCTGCAAGTTCCTCCTCTGCCCCTCGTTCGTTTCCCGCGCCACCTCCGGACGCCCCCAGGTCCCAGCCCCTCTCAGACTCACACCATGAACCCTCGGCAGCTGTTGTTGCGCCTGCCCCGTTACCTCGGGGTCTCGGGTCCCCCGCGTCGCCTGTGGTGGTCCCCGTCCCTCGACACCATCTCCTCGGTGGGCTCATGGCGCGGTCAGTCCTCCAAGTCCCCGGCCCACTGGAACCAGGTGGTGTCGGAGGCGGAGAAGATCGTGGGCTACCCCACGTCCTTCATGAGCCTCCGCTGCCTGCTGAGCGACGAGCTCAGCAACATCGCCATGCAGGTGCGGAAGCTGGTGGGGACTCGGCACCCGCTGCTAACCACCGCCAGGTGAGCCACCCCCTCCCGCTGACGCTCCTCTCACTCGAGTCGTTTTTTCTGGCTGGCACGGCCATCCGGCCTCGCTCCCACTGGCTCCTGGTTGATCTCTTTCCCCCCCTTCCTTCCCTCGGTCCTCCTGGACCTTGCGCGTTGCCTCCTTTCGAGTCCACTCCACCTTCTTGCTCCGCGGAGTGGAGACGTGGTTTTCTTTGGAGAAACCCTTGTACGCTTTTCGCGACTTTGCCTCTTACCGGTTGAGGGTGAAGACATCGCCGCGATTTGTGGAGAAGTCAAGCAGGGACATAACGTTTATTGAGTCACTTCCTAGGAATGGTCTTTGGAAAGTGGGATAGAGTGATTTGCGGTTCCGCACTGTTCCAAGCAGTCACCTCCGGAAAGAAAGGGGAGGGAGAGACAGGCTGAGAGGGAAGATAGTTCTTTTGACATAGGATTTTATCCATCAGTAGTCATTATCCTCTTTGGGTTTTTATCACATGCTGTATTAGAACTGTGAGACTTGCCATTACGGTGTATACAAACTTTCCTCTTAAAAAACCACATGCCTTTTGGTTTGTAATTAATTTAAACATACAGGAAAGTTGTAAGAATCAAACTAGTACAGAAAACACCGTAGCCTCGACGTGCTGGGTTCCGGCGATCCTTCCGTCTCAGTCTTCCAAGTAGCTGGAGCTATAGGCACGCGCTACCATGCCCGGCTAACTTTTGATTTATTGTAGAGATGAGGTCTCGCCAAGTTGCCCAGGCAGGTCTCGAACCCGCAGGCTCAGGCAATCCACTCACCTCAGCCTCCCAAAGGCTCGGGATTACAGGCTGAAACATTTTTTAAAATTCAGTTTAGAAGTCAGGGAGATGAACTGGGGAATACACATTTAGTTTCAACAAGATTGGTAAAGTTATAGTTCTTGAATAGTAGGCTCATTTGTTTAAGTTTTAAAACACACAGTATACATACATATTTGTGTGTGTGTGTGTGTGTGTGTGTGTGTGTGTGTGTGTGTAATGTGTATCATCTACAATCTCTGGAAAACTAACGTTCCAGCTACAGGACAAGCTACGCCAATCATAAGGTGACATTTCTGATAATTGGGACAATGCCAAGAAATAAGATCACTTTATTATTGCTACTTGGTAACTTCTGTAATAAGAAAATGACAGGTGTCATCTCATTAAAAATTAAAGCAAGGAGTGGATAAGGGAAGTAGGTGTGGCTTAAGAAGGGCAACATGAGGGATCCCCTGTAGCGATGAAAATGTTCAGTATCTTGTCTGTATCAGTGTAAATATCCGGCTTGTGATACTGTACCATAGTTTCACAAGATGTTACCACTGGGAGAAACTGGGTTAAGTGTACACTGGCTCTGTTACTTCTTCTAACTATAGTGGGAATCTACAACTACCTCAAAGTAAAAGTTTAATTTTAAGAAAGAAAACAGAAAAAAAAAGATCATTTTGTCCTAGATTTATGCAGCTTGGCTGACATTTTGGGGCGCATTATTCTTTTTTGTGGGCTGTCCTGGGCATTGTAGGGTAGGGACACTAAACGTCTGAAATGTGCCCCCGTTGATGACAATCCAAAATTTCTCCATATGTTCCCAATTGAAGGAGACTAAAAAGACATTACAACTAAATACAATACCTAATCCTAGGCTGGATCTTGACTGGAGGAGAAAGGCTACTACAAAGGACATTGGGTTAATTAACAAAATTGGAATATGATTAGCAGATTAAATAAAAGTACTGTATCAATATTAAATATACTTAAGTTGATAATTGTACTGTAGCTACATAAGAGAATATCTCTAAACTTAGGAAATCCATACTGAAGTATTTGGCGATAAAGGACCACGGTGTAAGCAATCTACCTTCAAATGATTCAGGAAAAAAACATATAAATATACACACACATAATGTGTGTATACCTGTGTGTGTGTGTGTATATCTCTTATATCTGTATATAGAGAGATATACACACACTCAAACACACACAATATCTATGTAGTATGTGAATTTGATTAAATGATATACAAGTGGCATACTCATAGCCACTGCAGCCTCAACCTGCTGGGCTCAGGTGATCCTTCTGCCTCAGCCTTCCAAGTAGCTGGAACTACAGGTGTGTGCTACCACACCTGGCTTATTTTTTGATTTATTGTAAGACAAGTTCTCACCAATTTGCACAGGCTGATCTTGAACCACTGAGCTCAGGCAGTCCTCTCACCTCGGCCTCTCAAAGTGCTGGAATTACAGGCTTGAGCCACCACGTCTAGCCAAAATTTTTCTTTTTTAAAGTTGCATGGGTGTGTTCCTAAACAATAAGATGTTTAATTTTATTTATTTATTTGATTTGGAGTCTCACTCTGTCGCCCACCGCAGCTTCGACCTGCTGGGCTCCGGCCATCCTTCCGCCTCAGCCTTCCGAGTAGCCGGAATTACAGGCGTGCGCTACCACTCTCGGCTAATTTTTTATTTTATTTTATTGTAGAGATGAGGTCTCGCTGCTCAGGCGGGTCTCGAACCCAAGGGCTCAGGCAGTCCACTCACCTCAGTCTCCCAAAGGCGCGGGATTACAGGCTGAGCCACCGAGCCCGGCAAGATGTTTAATTTTATTCACCTAAAAAAAACTACTAGTATTGTAACTTATTACATGAGGCTTTCCGTCACTTGCTTTTTTAAGTTCATTGTTTTTGGGATTTATCTATGTTGTGTGTTTTACCATATTTCATTAGTTTTTCATTGGTGTTTGAAATTCTGTTATGTGAATATACCACAATCTTCTTTTCATCAGCATCTGGGTTGTTTACCTTTTTTGGTGTTGTGGAACATACTGCTGTGAATATGTCTGCATGCCTTTTGGTGTACTGGTCTTGAGGATATAGATACAGGGTGTAAATGTTGGGTGTATACATGTTCATCTTTAAATAATACCAAATCGCTTTCCAAAGTGAATGTACTGGTTTGCACTCAAACAAGCAATGTCTGAGTTCAGGTTGCTATGTGTTCTCGTGACACAAGAACCAAGACTTTTCTGAATTTTTCCTGATTAGGAGGTTGCTGTGTGTGTGATGAGAATGACAGTGTCAATGGTGGGGGTTGCAGTAGTATATTTCATTATGAAAATTGCAGTCCCTATAATAACGCACTGAAGCGTGGTGGCTCATGTCTGTAATCCTAGCACTTTGGGAGGTGGCGGCGGGAAGATTGCCTGAGCCCACAGGTTTGAGACCAGCCTGGGCAACATGGCAAGACTTTGTCTTTACAATAAACCAAAAAATTAGTTGGGTGTGGTGATACATGCCTGTAGTTCCAGCTACTTGAAAGGCTGAAGTTGAAGGATTGCCTGAGCCCAGCAGATCGAGGCGGTGGTGGCTGTGAGTGTGCCACTGCACACTCTGGGCGACAGAGTGATACTCTGACTCAAAACCAACCAAACAAACAAACAAAAAAAAGCCACGAAAGTGAAATGAGCAGAACTAAAAAGAGCCTTATTAATGTGTATATTCCGAGAATTACAATTTATCTACTTAGTCGTGAGAGCATCAGAAGAGTATTTGGGGGAAGATCTCTTCTGAGGCCACCAGAGACACACTAGATGAAAGCTTGTGAGACTAATGGTTCTAAAACTTTACTGATTGTAGCCTACCCGGCTATTAGTTCCACAGTACAGTGAAAGAATTAGGGCACAAAATAGACGCTTTAGCAAAGTTGTGGTAGCATATATGAATTGCTCTATTTTGTAAGAGAAGAAAGAATTAATCTGCATTTATTGTTATTCCATTTACTATGCGAATGTGTTGCAAATTATTTAAATAGTCTGAATTTATAGACAGCCAATGAAAGCAAAGAAACTTTTGGGGAGGGAATATATATCTGTATATATGCACTTTATAAAGCTGTTTAGCAAAGGAGCAGACATTTGGTCCAGAGGTTAGGCAGGGATGGCTATTGAAAATTAGAGCTAAAACCATGGATTAAGCAGCTATATTCATTCACATACTGTATAATGTAACTTGTTGAAATCTTGTCAGCAGAGCATTGATAATTAAGAGGAAGCCGCTCTCAGCATGGTAGCCAAAAGGCACAAAGACCTCTTGTAGTTAATGAAATTAGGATCATAGGAGATTGGACTTGGTAAATTCTTTTAGAATTGTAAAAAACCCTATTTTACATTTTTGGTTTCTATAATTTGTTTAAATCAACATTCTAATCCCTTGGGCCATTTACTTTTTGAGTACATCTACAGGGTATACCAGGGATGACTCCTGTCTAATAGCCCTAAAATTTAGATGAATGGTGACATTATTGGCCGGGGGGGGGGGGGGGAGAAGGGGTGAAAACCACCATAATTAGTTATTCCCTATTTTCTTTTCTTTACCTATGCCATCCCACCAAGAAAAGGGAAAAACAGCCTGGATGTGACATATACCCTTGAACAATTTAATTCAGAAGTGAGATTAAATTAAAAATCTTGAGATTTGGTGAAACAATGATCTGATTACCGGGAACAGTGGAGCAATTAGCTCATTTTTATCCCTGTCTTCTAGATTTTCTAAGATCTCCCTGTTGTAAACTGCAGTTAGATAATCAGTCATCAGTTAATTGAGTCAATGTTTATTGAAGTTTACTGAGGAATATAAAGAAGTCTAAAACATGAACCCTGAACTTTGATGAAATGGCACAAAATATATTTACAAATATCTAACAGAAGGAAACAAATGACTATGTCTAATGAGCTGTTACCCTAGAAATGGCCTGGAATAGTAGAGCGCATTTCTTTTCTTTTTTTGTTTTTTTGAGTTGGAGTCTCACTCTGTCGCCCAGACTGGAGTGCCGTGGCCGCTCCTGGCCACCGCAGCCTAGACCTGCTGGGCTTCCGCAATCCTTCCACCTCAGCCTTCCAAGTAGCTGGAACTACAGGCGTGCGCTACCCCACCCAGCTAATTTTTGATTTATTGTAGAGATGAGGTCTCACCAAATTGCCCAGGCAGGTCT